TACGTAAGTATTCAATAGTAATTTTTTTCTCGTCACTTGCCTGTTTGTTGAGTTTATCCTCGTGCTCAACCTTGCGAGTTTTGCGAAGCAATTGTTGAGGTCCTTGTCTTTCTTTCCGATATAAAGTTCTGATATGATGAGTTTCTCGTTCAGCTCAACAGTCATCACTCTCATCTTTTGAAGTTCATCCCTAAGATAGACAATCTCCTTCTCATGTTCGGCAGATCGATGTTCCATAGCCTTCATCTTCTCTTTTTGAGCTTGGTACTTCTTGATGATCTCCGCTGCCTTGAGACAGTTTTCTATGGCATACTTGTGAAGTACAAGATTTTCAGCAGCTGGGTCAGAAAATTCATCAGAATCAACATCGCTCAGATTCTTCGCGTAAGAACCTGCATTAGACTCAACATCAGTCAGATGAACAGATGACGTAAAACAGTTATATTCATTAAGAAGACATTTAGCAGACTTATTTGAGTAGTAAGAATTCTCAGTCTTTTCAGATTCTTCCTCATCATCGTCACTACAGTCAGACCACGTAGCCTTATTTGAGTAGTAAGAATTCTCAGTCTTTTCAGTTGCATGCCGGAACGCTTTTCTCCAAGTTGCTGAATCTGGTTCCTACCACCTTAAAAGGACTTATTTCCTTGGAAACTCTTTTTCTGGAATTTCTTCAACTTTGAGACATTCCTAGTGAGTACAGTGAGAGCCTTAGTAATCTCATCAGCATCAAAGGATTCTTCATTTGATTCCTCATCTTCAGAGACGGCATTACGAACCTTGGCTTTCAACGCTAAGTCTTTCCCTTTGCTTATTCTCATCGAGTCAAAACCATGGTTAATTTCAAAGATACGAAGTTCGTCGAGAAGATCATCAATGCTGATTTTTGAATTCTCTGAAAACTTTCTAATGTTGTAATCTTAATTACAAACCTATCCGGTAAGGTTCTCATTAACTTTTGCACTTGTCTTGCCTCAGAGACCGTTTCACCAAGCATTGCATTGGTTTACTAGATCGCAGAACCGGGCATAGTACATGTCAATAGTTTCATCATTCCTTATGCGAATATCGTCAAGTTCAGTAGAAACTCTTTGGAGCCTTGAGTTTTTACCGCGTTTGGATCTTCAAACTGTCTTTCCAAAATCCTCCAGGCTTCTTGAGCGGTTGTGCACTGAATGATTATCTTATGACGAGTGGGATCTACAGCAGACATGATAGCATATAGAGCTCGAAAATTAGCTTCTTCTGCTTCTTTTTCATCGTTAGTCCAAATACTCCTTCGTTTTTCAACCAGAACTTTGGTAGCAGAAGTTGACGACTTTCCATCCGAGGACTCTCCTGCCTTAGATTCAGCGGGAACCTTTTCCATGAAGGGTACCTTACAACCAGATTCAACGGCCTGCCACGTGCCTTTGCCAAGAGACCAAAGAAAGATCACCATCATTGATTTTCAGTATGCGTAATTGGAGCCATCAAAGAGCGGAGGGCGCGAGACAGACATCCCATCGTGACTCATGTGACCAACACACAGTCCCAAATATCTTTATCCCGTAGTTAGAACAGGAACACTGCTCTAGTGCCAATTGAAATGTATATTTAATTCGGAGTGCGCTAAATAACGTACGAATTCGAAAAATAATTGTAAAATACGGAAGCAATTAGACCGAAGATGTAAAAACTCTTCAGGGAAGTATCCCACTTCCCCTCAGAGCTCTTTCATTGATAAACCGTATAATGACATAGTTTGGACTTACAAGACTCGAACTCCCTTCTAGTCTAGCCACAACTATTCACGATCCTATCAACTATTTCTCCGGCCACGTCCTGTGGACTTTTAAACCTACACTTATCCCTAAGTGTAAAACACAAAAGTGGTTTGAATGAACTTAAGAAAAATAAACTAAAACCGCTTCAGTTCTTGGATGTGTATGAACCCGAGAACTGAACTGTGTACAAAACTGAGCACAACAGAATATATGAAGCTCGAATATTGCTCTAAAATCTCTGTCTTCTCAGCAGCCGCAATAAGAGCTTCTCCTAGAGTATTTATACAACCTCTTTAGGTTTGGAGTCTTCAACACGGCATAGGACTCCTTGTGATTGCCTTACATATTTGTAGCTCAAGTTTAGGTAAGGTAATCTTCTTTTTCTCTCTCCTATATCTCCTTATCAAGTGTGCCTCACTTTCCTTTTAGCTATAGAGAACCGAATTCCTACAATATAGAATACCATAATAAGATCCACACAATCTTATATATGGAATATAAAATAAACACAAGTAAGGAAATAAAATATTCAAAGATCTTCCATTTTTCTGTGGTTCCAGGTGCTTATTAGAACATGAAAACTAATGCCAAACAAAAAATATCTTTCAATCCGTGTGCTTTATTTCTCGACTAATTTCAGGCGGATCCCGAGGAAATTGACCTCGCCCGTGCAGAAGATGTAGGACGGGACAAGACGACCGTGCGCTCTAAGGTGGAGGAATGTGCTGGCGGCGGCAGAAGGCGGAGGCCGAAGGCATGTGACAGGGACTAGCGAGTGTATGACGAAGATGTGTGTGTATGTTGTTTCTGTGTGAGAGAGAAAGGGGTGTGGGATGGGATATGGATTGGTTGGTAGGTGGGGTGGGGCGTGTGGATGGGATAGGGTTAGCTGGTAGGTGTTGGTTAGTTGACAGGTGGGTTCATGTATAGTGGGTCCCACATCTTTGAGTGTTGTGTGTAAATCTATCATAATAACATTAATGAACTAGAGCGTTACTATATATATATATATAACGAACTTTAACAAGTGGCAACGAGTGCATCATTCATCATCCCTGTAAGGTGACGACCACCGATCATGACAGTAGACAGTGGAACCAGCTCACTAGGGTTGGTAGGCGTGCCCAAGAGCACATATTCTAGACACTAGGTGAGGGGGATGATAACTTTTGAGACGAGTAGTGGTTTCATGAAGGACCCTTTTCGAGCACTAGGTAGGTCACTTACTCCCCTTCCATACAGGTGAAGGACCTGTGGATTGATAAGACGTGGGATATATAGGGATAGGTTAGAGAAGGAGTTGGGTACTGAAGAGGGTTTTAGTGATCAGTTGCTAGAGCAAATTCAGCAGATTCCCATCTCGGAAGACGGTTCAGAGAGTATGAAGTTGAGCTTACATCTTCAGATGTATTTCTTACGACCTCGTCTTAGGGGGAAGTACGACTTGGTGGTCGGTGTAACCTTCTCTACGGAGCCATTTGGACCGACCTTTTATTTAGACTATTTGTGTCTTCTTTTGGCGCTTTCTTCTGCACCAGATTTTGATTGATTTTGTTATAGGCTAGGGGGATTTTCTTCCCCTTGCGGTGTTACTGTTTGCCAGGTGATTTCCAGACTGAGACATTTTCCCACTTGTTTTTGAAGAGCGAGGTTGCAAGGAGAGTCTGGGAGCATTTTTTTCACTCATACTCATGCACCCCTACCCAATACAAAAAATTTCTTTGTCCTCTTGAGTTTTTTATCACAAAGCACACACTTTAGACACGTGATCATCCTCATTTCTTGTATGATCATGTGGTATAGAAGAATAATGCGAAGCATAGAGATATTACTTTTATGTGCTCTCACATAGTTTTGAAAGTTGATCGACATCTCTCTCTTCTCACAGCTCCGGCAGATTCACGCTTAGAGACTTGACATGCTACACACCACCCCACCGCTTCGTGTCGTCTCTGTTGCCGCCTGTCCAGCACCCGCAGCCCAGAGCGCTGTTTGGCTGACATCCTGCTCCCCTTGGGTTAAATTGAATATTGACGAAGCTGTCGACCGACTCACCGGAGCCGCCAGAGGCGGAGGCCTGATCAGGGATCAGCGCCTCTGTTCAATCCTCCTCGAGCTATGACGTGGAGGTTCAGGCGTTTCAGATCAGTCTTCAGATTGCAGCCTCTATCTCTTCTCACATTTGGGTTGAGCTGGATGCTGCCGCTATTGCCACCTTCTTAACCTCGGGCCACTATAGCTCATGGTAGATTTAGAACTCGTTCATGCACATCAAATCTACAGTTAAGTCGGTTCACTATCGGATCTCGCATACCTTTCACGAGGGGAATCAACCCGCTGACTATTTGGCCAGCCTCGGTGCCTCCACTCCCCTTAGGCGCACTTTCCACCTTGACGTCGCCTCTCTCCCCCTTCGTACTCTTGTGCGGATGGACCAACTTGGCTACCCCTCGTTTAGATTCCAGTAGACGCTTTGTATTTTTTGTGTCTTGGCTCACTTTGTGGTGTAGACTGTTTGCCTGAGCCCCTGCCAGTCTAGGTCAGGCTTTTCGTTTTTGTTGTTTTTTTCATTTTTTCCATTTTCGTTTTTTTTTTTTTTTTTTTTTTT